GAGAGAGACAGAGAGAGAGGGAGAGAGGGGGGGTAGAGGGAGGGAGAGAGAGAGAGGACGGAATGTTCCAGTAAGCGTTTTGCGGCACTGGCAAAACAATTAAGTCATATACGTGCTGAAGGTAAGAGGTATTACAAAAGCGTGGCAGACATAAAAAGGAGGAGAGAAGGACGAGACAGTCAGATTACAGACGGGATCTTCGAATTTAATGGCCATCTCCGTTTAGACCGGACCCAAACTGTGTCGAGGTTGATGTTAACTTCGCAAGCAAAACTTAATAATTATCCACGCTTAAAACAGCACCTGGGCAACAAGCCTGTACAAATGAGAAGTTATACGAAGCGACACAATTATGACTGGTCACGGACAGCATTTTTGCTGTGCAGCGTTTCCTTCACTTACATAAGCCTCACATGGGTTTTCATTCTTTATAATATAATTATTTATTCATCTGGCACGTTACATAAAACTTATGTCATTGCACGCGATGTTTTGACTAAGGCAAATTACAGCTGGTACCTTGCTGATTCAGCAAATCTTAGACATAAAAACGTAAACCTTTCTTGGATAAATACAAGAGGCAACAAGTGGTCGGTGGAGAGAGCCACTGGTAGTTCCTACTTCTTTTTATCCTTTATTACAATATTCTATTTTTTCTGCTTGTCTTGCTTACTTTTCATTATCTTCACCTTTTTTCACTCCGTGCCGGAGAAGTGGCCACCTGCAAAAGCTATCCATGTACATGTACTTCTGTCTTGAGCTAATGTCTCCTCCTTTTTCCAGCGGTATCTTTTCATTTTTAACGAAACGATTTCAATGTGACTTACTCTTACGTTTCTGACACCTTCAAAAGCTGGTTAAGGGGCAAACAAATCTCGGGAAGAGGCACATCTGGTGTCTCCGTTTGTGGTGACGTATAAATACAAGTAAAACGCCTCATTGATTATATTTCTCTTTCTGGAATTGGCTGTCATACCTGTCCAACACAATCACTTGGTTATTTGTACAGGTGAATGTCTAGGACATGTGCTTGTTAAAGCAGTTTCTACTCTGTTTCATTAGTTATCAGTGTCTTACCTCAGCCGTTGAAGATATCTGTGTCACAATAAGGTACGATTACATCACAAGACAAAGGGAACTGGAGGTAGTCACAAGTCGATCCACTCAATTCAAGGGATGAATTTTTGTCGAAGTCACCAACTCTGTGAAGTAAACATCAAAAAGCAAATGATTTTTTTACAAGTGTCTCGGTTAGTTTCTCAGGCAATAGCAACAACACATTGGTCATATAAATATAAGTGCGGAAGATAAAAAGTGTCACCAGAGAGCAAAAAAAAAAAAAGGAGGAGACTTTATTTGGAAAGAAGTAGCATCAAACTACACCTGAACGCCCGCCAATCATCCCCGAGTTGTAATTCTACAAGACTTGACACGATAACCATCACAGAAACACCGAAAAAAGGAACAGAGCAGACCAAACCAGATTAATTTGGAAGCCAACTTCAACCCTGTCAGGGCCAACGCTGGCAGAGAAGGATACAGCGTCCCAGCTGAAACATAGGGATAGATCATCCCAGCGGAGCTCTCGTGATTTAAGAGGTACGTGCGCGTGCTCGTTCACTTCAGTCAAAAGTTCTAGGGGTCGAAACCGGCCAACCGGCGTCCATGGTGTAGCGGTTAGGCGCTTTGTTGTCGTATCTCGGGCATTCTGCTGGAATGTTGCATCCCCACTTGGCCAGGGTTGACCCTGACAGCTAGAGCCAAAGCCTGTTGCTTAAATGATATTATGTGTCATCACACGGTGGAATCAGGCTCTAGTCACTTTTGCGGCATCAAGTAGAGTTATTAATTTTTATCTTAAAGTATGTTTATTTGTCTTGCTTTGGATGAATAAAATATCCATTTATCCAGAATGCAAGTCGAGCTATTTGCGAATGAAGGAGGTGGGGGTCAACTGGTTTTAGGGGTAAAATTAGTGATAAAATGGCAGCTAAAGATGAGTTATTTTCTTAGCTTGAGAGTCTGTGGAAACTGAAATCTTTCATTTTGTGTGCCTTTTATCAACGTTTTTCAGTAAAGTCCACACAGAAATGTGTTCTTTCAAGGGCATGCAAGGTATTGAGCCAAAAAACAAGAATTTGAAAAAAATTCACAAACCTGCCAAAAAATGCTAGTTTCTTCACTTTGGTTATTTTGACGAGCGCCTGATTTTACCACGCTGCCACAAATATATATTGCGTTGATGGAAGCATAAAAACGCCTGCAATAAAGAAGAAACCTGCCACCAATCGATGTACATTTTTTTTCTCTCTAAAATGTTTTCCTTTATCCTCCTGGTCTGTTCCGCCATCTGCTTTCCTTTTCATTCTCTTACCCTTCCCTCCACATCCATCCCACCCCGACCCCTTCTCGGCTCCTTTCTCCTCTACTTCTCACCCTTTCTACCGCTATTCCTGGCTCCTTCTTAATGATATCTTTCAACCTCACCTCTGATCTTAGGGTAGTTAAGATTGAAGACCCATGCTTCTCGAATTAGGGCAACAAATCTCGGAGGTCCTGTGTGCGAGTTGCGGACGCTTAAGATCCCTCGGAGGTTCTGATATCGATAAAAGCAGGTTTCGGCCGTTACCAAACTTTAAAAAATCAATTCTTACCAAAACTGAAAATACCATAGTCATCATAAAAAAGAGAGTATTCTCGAATTGGAATGCGGTTGCCTTAAAACTGGAAATGCATTTCCCTTAAAACTGGAAGGCAAGAGGCTCTGTGAAGTAGGATAAACGGTCACAAACGAAAAAGTTGGACGGCGTGCTACAGAACTGTAGTCAACTACCCCTGAAGTCTATTAGGGTAACGAACAGAAGAAGTTCAGCTCTGAGGCCACAAAAGCAACGCAAGGTTGAAAACGTGTCTGGCGCTCATTTGACTCAATATTATTCATACATATTTTACACTCCTGTTTTTCTCTATCTGAAAATAGATTAAAAGTAACAATATGTATACAATGAAATGTGGAGATGTGTGTTTCTTACTGGTGTGGTAGTTGGAAATATGCCTGCATCATTGCTAATGGTCTAATACTGATAGGGCATTATGTGCACGCACGTTCTCAAAGATTGAAGTAAAGTGAATGGGTTTAACGCCCCCCCCCCCTCAACACTACTAGCGCTACTAAGTCCGTCTCCGATTGGACCCAGCCAATTAATGGGCCGAGAGCCTTGATAACTCCACAAAACGAACCGAGTTTCCATAACGCCCAGCATGAGATTCGAACGAAGGCCATCTGCTCCGTCGCCAAGCATGATACAAACTGAGCTGACTGTGCGCCCGCATGAAGACAAACGTAACCAAATCAAAACATCCGCTGAGAAAAATACTCCGTCTAATTTTGAACGGACGAAACCCACGTCGTAGACCCAGCCCATCCAGCAGCAAACAGAACATGCAGCATACAGAATTACCACAGCGTAAACACAATTAGACAGACGAAAATACATTTAAAAACGCTAAAAAAGAAAGAGAGGCAAACCGAAACAAGATCTAATAACATCAACCGTGACCCCGCTGGCTCAACCAAATTTATCGCCTCGCCACAAAGCTTTCTTAATTCGCAGCCGGTCGATACAGAGCGCAGGGCAAATGCAGACATCATGCAGGGACAGGCGAAGGACGGCTGGCTGGCTCCCTGGTCCACGCGGGAAAAGATCGGGTAAACTTATTGAATTCTGGGCGTCTCTGACACACCATTTTGAGCGTTCGCTGTCAACGCTTGTGGAACACAGGACGGGGACCTTGAAACCGCGCCAGAATGTTCAACCGTTATTGAGAGAGAAAGTGTTGTTGAAGAAAGACAGGGAGAAAAGTAAAAGAAGAAATGACGGATGAGGAAGAATAAATGTCTGGCCTATTATTCGGACACTTAAAAGGCGACACTCTTGTGTGAATAGGAAAGGGGAGACCCAAGGGAAAAGTAAAAAAGAACGAGAGAAAGAATGACACATAAAAAAGCAGCTCTGGACACGTTCGGAGACGGCAAAAACCATCCCCTGAAACAACTCAAAGAAAACAACATCAACAACAACTACAACAACAACAACAACAACAACTGCAACAAAGACAACAACGAGACGACGACAACAACAGCAACAACAACAACAGCAACAACTACAACAACAGCAACAACAACAGAGAAAAAAATCCAAGGCAACAACCAACAGTTATTTGACATTTCGCTTCTACACAATTCCGATCATTTAGTAGGCGGGCAGCATTAACTCTACCTGTCAGACTTAGCTCTGAATGAGAGGGATACAGCGTCCAAGCAGAGGGATAGAGACACTTGATAAGATTAAATTCCGCACAAGGGAATCGAGCCTACGTCTTTCGCGTGAAACAAAGAGGAGTATTAATTAAATATTTAGCAGGACGGACCATTTGATTTAATGTCCCGCCTCCGAAAGGACAGAGCCGGTTGGGCGCAGACCCTTGAAAATTCCCCAGACAATTCAAAGTTTGAAAGACGTTGCTGCTAAAGCGATCCTCTGCAGGGCCAACCTTACAATAGTCTAGCAAACGGCGCACCATTAAGAATAACAGCACCGATGACTTGATAATGATCATGTCATCATCATTCTCCTTCTCATCATCATCATCATCACCATCATCATCATCATCACCACCACCATCACCATCATCATCATCATCATCATCATCATCATCATCATCATCATCATCATCATCACTGTTTTACAGCAAAAAAATATACTGGAGATTTCCATAACTTACCATGTAACTCGTCAGTACGTTTTCGACTTATTAGAGATTGTAAAGAGCAGCTTAAGAAAACTCCAGAAGGAAGAGGTACGACAGGAAATGGAGACAGAAGTCACACAGAAGCTGAAAGAAGTAGACGGCTCAGAAATGACAGCAGAAGAAACATGGTCAGTGTTCAAGACCACGCCTGCAGTAAAAAGAGCCGAAAGAGGGCAGGTAAAGCAGGCAGCTTGGTGGAATGACACAGTAAAGGAGACCAAAGAAAAGAAGGAGTTGTACAAGGCGTGGGTAAAATCAAAGCTAGATGAGGACTATGTGAAATACAGACTTGCAAGACGTCATAGCAAGAGGATAGTCAGAAGTTCCAAGGAACAGTCAAGGAAGGAATACGGCGAAATATTAAGTGAACTGTGCAAGCACTCACCACGACAGTTCTACCAAAGTGTCAAAGCGTTGAGGCAACGAGACGAACCATACAACCCAACAACGGTAGTAGTCAATGACAGAAACCCGTTCAGTGAAGAAGACAGCATCAAAAACAGAAGACAGGAGTATTTCAGGGAATCCCTTAACCAATGCAGCCTAGGAAACACTCAGAGCCAATTTCAACCACGATACACAAAGATTTACGCAAAGATCTTGGAACAGCGTACATGGCACAAGGTGGAACCATTACTGAATGAGCATATTTAGACCCACGAGGGACATACAGTACGAAATTAAATGAACTGTGATATCTCAGAAAATAAACAGTCTAGCTACTAGTATAAGGCGACCATGGTATAGAATAACATTAGAAAAAACATGAATTAATTGATCTTTTAATCGGCTTTCCTTTCTTTCGCATTATGCGCCCGCTCCTGACAGTGTGTGTGTGTGTGTGTGTGTGTGTGTGTGTGTGTGTGTGTGTGTGTGTGTGTGAGTTTGTGTGTGAGTGTGTGTGTGTGAGTGTGTGTGTGTTAGCGTGTGAGTGTGTGTGTGTGTGTGTGTGTTAGCGTGTGAGTGTGTGTATGGGTGTATCTGTGTGCGTGTAATATGTGTGTAAAAGAGAAAAGTAGAAAGAGAGAGAGAGAGAGGGAGAGAGAAAGAGAGAACATCCTCTGGGCCCCTGACTCTTTCTGTAGCCCTTTGCTACACCTTGCCTCCTTCTTATTGCTTTCTTTCAGCCACACCCCTCATCTTCTGGTTGGTAAGATCTACACCTAGCCTTCTCGGACAAGACCATAATTCTTGGAGGTCTCGTGAGCATGTGGCGCACGTTAAGGATCCCTTGGTGGTCCAAAATCGATAAGAGTAGGTTTCGGCCGACACCTTGGCAAAAATCAAAATTCAAAATTTCCTACCAAACTGAAAATGTTTAATGTGTCCCGCGCGCTCATATGACTGTATGCAGTTGCGACCGCCGTAACACATTTACAAAAAAAAAAAA